ATTTGTTATCCTGTTGACATGTAACAATGTCCAACTTGCTGACTTTTGCCCAAATGATAAATTATAAAGTAGCATGGTATTTTAATTGGAAGTTCCCTGGTCTCTAATAAATTGAGGCATCTCTTTATGTATTTGCTAGCTAGCTGAGGATGTAGCTCAGTGACAGAACACTTACCTGTATGTACAATGCTATTCAAGTTTCCGGTGCTTTGAATAGCAATTTAGTTTCTGTGTACAATTTTCTATATTGGGAAGTTCATTGCATGTTTTTAACTTCGAGGTGCCTGAAAATCACCTGAGGATCTGGTTAGGATTCAGTAAAGGTAGATGGGGCTCAGGATTGTGCATTTAATAAGCACAGGTGTTTCAGAAACCTTTGTCTTTGAACCCATGCTTTGGGTAGTTAGGTTCTAGATGCTAATTTGAGACTTTGCAAAAAAAAAAAACAAAAGACTCCTTCCAAATTTGTAATGTTATTGCTCTTCTTGTCTAGGTAATCAAAGACTTGATTAAGTAATCAAGGATTTGTTTCACAAGTCCTTCATTCCTCATGGGTTGCAATGATTCTCTTCTCTATTAACTTTGTAGATTTTACTATTGTTATTTTTGCTGGGTTACCAAGATTGGCCTTGCACTCCTGGGCTCAAGCCATGATCTTACCTCAAAGTTCCAAGTAGCTGGAGCTATAGACATGGACTGCTATGTCCAGGACCTTTATAGAGTATATACTTTTATAGATCTATTAAAGATTTAATATATCTGAAATCACATTTGAACTGGGCTATATAAGGTAATAGTACTTAGTTTCCCAGAAACAAATAATATATTGTTTCTCCATTGATTTGTGGTGCTCCACTCATCTTATTTTAAGTTCTAGGATATCTATGACTTTGCTCTCTGCTTTCTATTCTATTTCTTTGGTTCACATACATACTTCTAGACCAGCAGCATAGTGCCTTTTGTGTGCAATCTTGAGGTATGTTCAATACATAGAAGGGTAAATCTTAGACCTTTGTTTTTCCTTTTCAATTTTGACTTATATATTTATATATCTTTATCCTTTAAGATAAATCTTAGAATGAATTTGTTTAGTTTCTTAACAACTCTGGCTAAACTCTCCAGTGGAACTATTTTGATTTTATGTATTAGTTTGAGGAAGATCTATGTTTTTGCAGTATTAAATTGTCTCAATCTGTACATGGGATATATGTGCATTTATCCCACTCTTTCATGTCTTTTAATAGACTTTCATGGTTTTCTCCATAGGGTTATGTGGCTTAAATTTAAAAAATTATCTTTAAGTAGATGTGCAAAGAAGTTACCATTCAGCAAAACAGTGTTATGAATATAGTGTATCTTTGGCAGTATTAGGAGTTTGAATTCAAGGTTTTGTGTTTGCCAGATGGATCCTATACTGCTAAGCCGTACCCCCTGCCCTGTTTTCCATTGTTTATTTTTAGGACAAGGCCTCACTGCCCACCCTGCTATGCAGAGCTTGATGCACCTGAGCCATAATCAAGCCATCTTTTAGACTTCCCAGCCACAAGTCAGCACATCTTGCTTCTGTTCTGTGGAGAATGAGTATTGTGGACCTTTATACTGGGGCTGGCCTAACACCTTATGAGTCTCCTGTGTGGTTTGGGATAGCAGGTGCATGATACTGCACCAAACTATGGGTTGAGAAGGGAACTCACAAATCTTTCTGTCCAGGCTGAACTTGAACTTCAGTCCTCCAATTCTCAGTCTCCCAGGTAGCTAGGATTATAGGCATGAGCCACTAGTACTTAGCTTGTGTCTTTTTCTTTTTTATTGTTATTATAAAGATGATGAGGTTGTGTCTTAGTCTTTATGTTTATTGTAAGTACTTTACTGTCTTGGTTATCTTTGAGAAATGGTATTTTATTTCTTTTCTTCCTTTTATTGTTGTGCTGGTCCTGGGGGTTGAAGTCAGAGCCTCATGATCTTGCTTGGCTTTTTCACTCACTCTGCTTGAGCCACATTTCCAATTCTTGCTGGTTAATTGGAGATGGAGTCTCTTGTATTTGTCTGCCTGGGCTGGCTTTGAATCGCAGTCCTTAGATTGGATCCTAGCCTTCTGAGTGGCTAAGATTATAAGTGTGAGCCACTGGCATCTGACAAAAACAGTATTTTATTTCTGATATATTTCCTACTTGATTATTTCTCATGTAGAGAGATGGCAATAATTTTTGTAAGATGATTTTGTATTCCAGCCTGATGACCTGTTTTTGTGTGCTGCTTTGATTAGTGTTTCTCTGTAAATTATATTATCTGAAGGCAATGAAACATATCTATTTCATTTCTGATTGCTTTTTAAATTTCATATGTTGATTATTCTGTTTAAAAGTGGACTATTTGCTGAGCAGTTTTAGGTATACAAAAAATCAACCAGAAGTATAGAAAAATCTCATATGTTCTTTCATTGCCCTAAATTTCCACTATTAGTAACACCGTGCACTGGTGTTATGCATTTGTTATAGCTAATGGATCAATGCCAAGACATTAAGAGTATTGGAATGGATAGTCCACTTTCAGCTTCACTCTGTGTGTTGAATTCTGTGGGTTTTGCTCAATGCATACCCACTCTTATGTATCATTCAGAAGAGCTTCATTGCACCAAGAAAAACCACGGGCTCCATATATTCTTCCTTACCCTGATCTGTCTATCTTTGGTGATCACTAATCTTTCTAATGTCTGGAGTTTTACCTTTTCTGAAATGTCGCATAGTTGGAATCATGTATGTAGGCTTTTCAGACTAACTTCTTTAATTTAGTAATACATGCATTTAAGACTTTTATTTTTTGCTATGGCTTGATAGTGCATCTCTATCGGATACTATTTGATTGCATGGATGAATTCATTTGTTTATTCAGTTACCTATTGAAGGACACTTTAATTCCTCTCAAGTTTTGTGAATTGTGAATAATCCTGATGCAAACATTCCCATGCACCTTTTGGTGTGTTCCTAAGTTTTTAATTCCTATGAGTAAATATCTAGGGATACTATTGCTGGGCTGTATGATAGTGGTATGTTTAGTTAAGAAATTGCCAAACTTTCTTCCAGAGTGGCTGTAATATCTTGTATGTCCACTAACAATGAATGAGAGTCCCTGTTGTATTCCACAGCAACATTTGATATTAGTGTTTTGGATCTTAGTCATTAAGAATTCTCTGTATATATTAGATACAAAGCCCTTATTAGATATCTGTTTTCCAAAGATTTTTCTATGAGGATTTTGCTTTTCATTCTTTTTTTTTGGTGATATTGAGATTTTGAACTCAGGGCATTGTGCTTGGTATGTAGGTGTTCTATCATTTGAGTCACACTCCCAAACTCTCTCTTGCCTTTGTAACTTTTTGTTTTGTTTTGTTTGGTGCCAGTCCTGGGGCTTGAACTCAGGGCCTGGGTGCCATTCCTGAGTTTCTTTTCCTAGTGATCTACCAGTTGAGCTACAGTACCACTTCTGGCTTTTCCTGAATAGTTGGAGTTAAGAGTCTTCATGAACTTCTCTGTCTTGGCTAGCTTTGAATTGCGATCCTCAGATCTCAGCATCCCGAGTAGCTAAGATTACAGGCATGAGCCACGAGCACTCAGCTCTTTGTTACTTTTTGAATAACCTCTCATGTGTATACCTAGACCATGATCCACCTATTTATGTTTCACATGCAGCTAGGATGACTGGAGTGTGACACTGCTCTAGCTGTTGAGATGGGGGTCTCAAGTTTATGCTTGAGTTAGTTTGGAATCACTATTCTCCTGATACCAGCTTCCTGTGTAGTAGGTCAACAGGCATGTACCACTGCATCTTGTTATTGGTTGAGATGGTAGGCTGTCTCAAGTTTCATACCTAGGCTGGCCTCAAATTGCAATCCTCCTGTTCTTCACCTCCCACATAGTTAGGTTTATAGAAGTTGTCCACTGGTACCTGGACTCTTTTCATTCTTTTAATAATGTTTTCTGTAGAGAAGTTTTTTTAATTTAATGAGGTCAGCTTATCAATTTTTTCCCTTGTGGATTGTGTTTTTGATGCTATATCTAAAACCCCATTTGCCAAACCCCAAATGACCTAGTTTTCTTTTCTATGTTTTCTTCTGGAAGCTCTCTGGCTTTGCATTGTGCATTTAGGTATGTGATCTATTTTCAGGTATTTTTTGAGGGGGTAAAAGCTTTTTGCATGTGGTAGCTAGCATTTCTAGCAGTATTTGTTGAGAAGACAATCCTTTCTCCATTAAGTTTCTTTCACGTCTCTGTTAAAGATCACTTGACTATATTTGTGCAGGTCTATTTTTGGACTCTCTATTGTGCTCCATTGATCTATTTTTCTATTTTTCACCAATATCACACTGCTATGATTACTGCAGCTGCTTTTTTAATTTGTTTTATAACCTTGCATTTATGAAAAAGGATTTGTGATAGATTGTAATTTCAGTTACATGGGAAATAAGACAATTTTAATAAAAAGATAAAAATCACATAAAATGATTGGTTCTTCTGCCAGAGGCTCCATTCTTCCAAAGCTGGAGCAGTCCTAAAATGGAACAACTACAGCAGAATTATCACAAGGACGACTGGGCTGGCATCTGGACTTTTTAACTGGTGACCTTTAACTGACAACATTGAAAGTCATAGGTTTAGATAGAGAAATACCAAGGATACGTTATCCTTAAGTATTATTTTTCTTTACATTTGTGGTAATTGGTTATTCAGTGGTATTGCTAGTGTATATAGTTTATTGGAATTGTATCTTAATATTTAAGATACAGATGTTTAAGATATTTAAGATATATTTCGGTTTGATTGCCATCACTAGCCAAAAAATGATATATTTAGATATTTGATTTTATTTCATATCACTTGTGGTACTGGGGGTTAGATAGAGGGCCTTACCCTTTGTGGGCACTCTACCACTTGACCTACATCAAGAAATAGAAATATGTATATATGCAAATCTGACCCTATTTTGTTTTGCATTTTTTTTAGGTCAATGATGCTTTCCTTCATGTGATACAGCGCAAATCCACTGGCAAGGTGCTTCTGTCTCTTAAATGATCCTCACCTCAGCAGCAAACTCAACATGCATGGCTCAAAATTCATCATCCTCCCTCCAAACTTGAATTTCTTACTGACTCATCTTTAAAATCTTAGGGATCAGTCATCTTTGGTTCTGCTTTCTTATTGCAGAACCAATAAGACCAGAGAGGTTATTGCCCAAACTTGTGCCTTTTTGAGAGTAATTATCTTCCCCCAAACCAGGATGTGTTGTCTGGATGTATAGCAACAATTGCTAACTTTTATTCTCACCTTTTCTATATTACTCCCCTCCATACCATCTTCTCTATTCTAATTATGCATCATCATCAATTTCCAGTGACTGCTATTTTTTAAATAAGATTTTTATTGTGAAAAATACTGTACAGAGGGGTCCTCCTCCTTTGTTTCTCCCCTACCATCCCTTCCCTCCCACCTCCTCAACTACTTTCCCCTCCTCCACGCCTAAATTGTAAAGTTCGTTTTTCACATAGCGTCTTGTACATCTCATTGTTGCAGTGGGTCAACCTGTATCCCTATTTAAACATTTTGTTTTTTCCCTTCCCCTCCCCAATTATACTAACATCAAATACAGTGAAAACAGGGGTTAGACTGTAGGGAAGAATATACAAAGCAACAAAAAAAATCCCATAGTACCTTATAAATACGTTAGAAACAATAGCAAGAAAGGAAAAACCACTTGTGTCCCTATCTTGGGGTTCATTTCGCTTCTTCATCTTATCTGACCTTTTCTGCTTGAGTGACTGCTAGTTTTAAGTGAATGTCTTGCCCTTAAATTTCTTCCATTCTCTCCATCCATGTTACACATGATTCCCAAAGCACAGCTCTCCCCATCTCTTGACTTGGAAAACCTCCGGTGGCTTACCATTACCCACGTGGGGGAGTTCACACCCTTAGCGCCATTGCATTATGACTCTAATTTACCCTTTTACACATTTTCAACACTGTGATCCATCAGTCCCTAAACATACTCTGCCTATCTCGTTTTTTCCACAATACAGTGTCTCTTTCCCTTTATCTCTGCCAGACATAAGCCTTTCTTACCTCTAAGGCCTACATTCCCCATGCACCTTTATCCCCAGGGGAGTATAACCTTTAGCTTCAGATGCACATTCTAATTTGTCACGGGAAGAATCATGTGCAAGGGAGTAGACACAGGCATCTGAATCCGGGATGTGGGTTTGAATTTCACCTTCACTACGATGAGGTGGCCACTAAGGGCTCTATACTCTTTTTCTCACTATAACGTAATGTGGGTATTACATATCTACCTCACAGTTGTAAGCAATGCATGCAGTAGTTGGGTAAAGCACCTGGAGGCAAAGTAGCAAATGCTAATTCCTTTCACTTCTTTCTCTCTTCTTTTCCTAATGTGTTGTTAGTTCCTTGAGAGCAGGTACCATGTTGGCTCACCTTTGTGACTTCTTACCCTTCCTACCATAGTGAGTTACTCTTAGTAAATACGCAACACATTGAATTGCAACTGAATTACATTCAAGTCTAAAATTGTGGATTAAATTAAGACTATATTGTGTCTGGATTGGGATGTGGGTACTAGTAGGAGGGGGACAGATGAATAGAGAAGGGGAAAGAGGCTGAACATTGTGATAATAATCTGTGTATAGGCATGAAAATGGAACAAAGAGATGAGACTTGGGAAGGGGAGGAGGGAGAATGATGGAGGAGATAACTGATCAAAATGTATCTATAAATGGACATGTCAAGATGAAACGTAATTGTACAACTAATTGATGCTAATAAAAATATTGTCTTGCAAACAGCTCAATAAATATCAACAGGGGAATGAATAAATAAAATAAAATGTGCATACTTTGGATTATATTTCAACCTCTAAAGCTAATGCAGTTCTGATATATGTTACAACATGAACCTTGAGGACATTCTGTGTGAAATATGCCAGACACAAAAGAGATATAGAGAATAGTTAAACTATAGAGACAGACAGGAGAATAGTAGTTGTCAGAGATCATGTTGGAGTAAATCTTAGTAAATCTGTCAATTTCTTTCAGAAAGTTATAGTTATTTAACTATTACAAGTTGAAAATATTGTAAGTCAAAATATATTTAATTCATCTAATTTCCTGAACCTCACAGATTAGTAGCTCAGTACATGGTAGAGTAATAGTGCCTCAAAAGAGAGCACTATACTATGTATTGTTAGCACAGGAGAAGACCAAATACCAAAATTCTAAGCAAAAGTTCTCCTAAATGCACATCACTTAGACATCATCATGAAATGGAAACATCCTACATCAAACCATCTGTTCCATGTTTAGTATCCAGTAAAAGTGTAGGACCTCTCCCCTTAGACCAGGACATGGAAGACACTGGGCTGATTCAGTCTAAACTCAGCACCTTATCCACCCTGGGTTCTGCTCACTTAGAAGTAAGAGTGATGTTTTGAGTTTCTCCTCTCCTCTCCTATCTCTCTCTCTCTCTTTCTCTCTCTCCTTCTTTCCTTCCTTCCTTCTACTGGGTTCTACTTACTTAGAAGTAAGAGTGATGTTTTGAGTTTCTCCTCTCTCCCCCCTCTCCTTTTTCTTTCTCTCTCTCCTTCCTTCCTTCCTTCCTTCCTTCCTTCCTTCCTTCCTTCCTTCTTTCCTTCCTTCCTTCCTTCTTTCTACTGGGTTCTACTTACTTAGAAGTAAGAGTGATGTTTTGAGTTTTGAGTCTCTCCTCTCCTCTCTCTCTCTCTCTCCTTCCTTCTTCCTTCCCTTCTCTCTCTCTCTCTCTCTCTCTTTCTTTTTCCTTTCTTGTTTGAACTCAGAATCTCATGCTTGCTGGCACATACTCTACTATTCTGAGCCATGCCCCTAGGGTTTTTTCTTTAGTTATTTTTCAGATAAGATCTAGTGCTTTTTGCCCAAAGATAGTCTCAGATGGTGATCCTCCTATCTCTATCTCTTGCCTAGCTAGGATTACAGGAGTGAACTACCAAGTATGACTTATTTACCTATTTGTTTATATTATTATTATTATTATTGCTCAAGGCTAATACTCTGTCACTTGAACCACAGCTGTATTTCCAGCTTTTTTTCCTCCATAGTCTAGCTTTGAACTGTGAGATCCTCAGATCTCAGCCTTTTGAGTAGCTAGGATCAAAGGCATGAGCCACAAGTGCCTAGTTTTGTGTTTTATTTTATTTTTTTACAAATGGCTTTGCTAACATAATTATAGTAAAGTTTTATAGTCATCAAAAGAATCAAAGTACACAGCAGTTTATGAAGAGCAATTGTTATTTTATTTCTTTAAACCCCTGTCTCATTCTCATTCTCTGGGGAAAGCACTGAAAGTAGTTGGTCTTTTTTTTTTCAGTTTACTTTGTTGTTATTATAAAAGTGATTTACAGAGGGATTACAATTACATGAGTCAGGTAATGAGTACATTTCCTTTCATACAATGTCTTTCATTCCCTCACTCTCTCCCAAAAGTAGTTAGAATTAAAGAACTTTAAAATCACACACATACATATGCATTGAGTTTAAAAAAAAGGAAATATGTATGTACTTTAAAAGTATATAAATATATATATATGCTTAAAATTTATACATATATTTGCCTAAAATATTATGCATAATATTCTGTAATGTACTAGAGAGAGAGAGAGAGAGAGAGAGAGAGTGTGTGTGTGTGGGGGGGGGGTACTAAAGCCCAAGGCCTTGCACATGTCCTACCACTGAGCTATATTCCTAGCCTTAATGTATTATTTTAATCAATAATATATTACTAATATTTACAAATATAATTTCATGCTTATTTTTGCCAGTCCTGAGGCTTATACTAAGGGCATGCGCACTATCCCTGTTTCTTTTGCTCAAGGCTAGCATTCTACCACTGAGACATAGCTCCGCTTCTAGCTTTTTTCTGTTTATGTGGTACTGAGGAATCGAACCTGGGGCTTCATGCATGCTAGACAAGCACTCCACCACTAAGCCACATTCCTAGCCCTAACCTCGTGCTTTCTAATAGCTGGCTAGTATTTCATGCAAGGGATGCACTCTATTAGTAACCTTTGGCTTCCATGCATGATTATATCCTTAATATTATTCACAATAAGTGGTTATTCACATAGACATTTACTGATCTGCCTTTAAATGGCATCCTAGCACAGCACAAGGAGCTCTGGTGAGCAGATCTACGAACCTATTGAGAAAGAAGAACATTAGTCAAGTACCCAGAACCATGCTACATCAGGGTCAGGTAAAGTATAATGAGTGCCTCCCTTAGAATACTTCCAAGCTTCCATCTGCAGATGGAAACCCATAGGAATTTAAACAGGGAAGAAGGAGGAATAGCCTAGGATCCTATGGATAACAAAAGCATGGTGAGTAAAAGAAAATGAAAGAAGCAGAGTGCTATGAGATGAAGTCAGAGGCAGAGGCCATATCAAATGGGGATTTGTAGGAGTTTTGACTTCACACCAGAAGCAAGGTGAATGCAACAGCAAGGACACAACCAAATGACATTGTGTGCGAGGTGAAGAGGTGAAGAAGGTGTCCTTTCAAACCTAAATAAAAGATCATTGTAGCTTGGGCTATGATGGTGAAGATGGGAAAGGAGAGAAATAGACGGCCAGGACAGCTGTGTAGGAGATAAAAGTGGAAGGATTTGATGCTGGATTGGAAATAGGGGTAGAGAGAAGGAAAGCCGAAGTGACTCCTAGCTTCCTGGATATATGTTAGAGAAAAGGAATATTGAATGAGACTTAGATTTTGGGGATGGCGTGGTGGTATAACTGAACAGAACATTAACTTTTGTATCTCTTGACGTATCTAACTAGTGTTCGGTATCAATTTGTTGCTCATAGGAGAGGTGTGGCCTAGAGGTACAAATATGACGGCCATTTGCATGGAGGAGATATTGATGTCCAGAGTGTATCTGAGATTATCCAAGGATGTGTGTAGGAAGGAAGAATATATAGAGGAACTAGGCACACTTTACCTTTCCATAAAATGGAGACTATTTCCTGGCTTACTATGGACCACCCAAAAGAGACTTAGAGAGGGCATAGTTTCAGGTTTCAAATAAGTGACAATACTGTGAGCTGATGGCTTATGTTTGTAATCCTAGCTCCTCGAGGCTGAGATCTGAGGATTGTGTTTCAAAGCCAATTATGGAAGAAAAGTCTGTGAGACTATTATCTCCAATTAACCAGCAAAAAGCCAGAAATGAAAGTGTGGCTCAAGTGGCAGAGTGGTAGCCTTGAGAGAAAAAGCCAAGTCAGGGTTAGACGCCCTGAATTCAAACCCTAGTACTAGAAAACAGTCAGTGACAAGTGGTTTTATGAAAGGTTGTACTGTTCAGGGCCTCAGGTATCATTCTCTGGCTGAAGGGTCAGAGGCTGGTG